CCTACGGTATCATCTTATGGTGTGGATAGGGTAGGTAAGAATATATACATAGCAGTGGCGTACCGAGGGGGGGGGGGGCGGGGGGAGGCGCGCGCCCCCCCCCCCCCCCCGAGAATGAGTCGCGAAATTTTTGAAAGTTACTTATATGAGTCATAAAAATGTACAAGAGACTTATTTAAATTTATAAGTAATTAAAATAATTTTTAAAATTTTTTAAAAATTCAATTTAGATTTATAAAAAAAAATTTTCCGGGGGCGTGACCCGCAAAAATTTTGAAAAGCACTCCTAAAATTTTTTCGGAGTGGTTGCTGGGACGCAAAGAGACTGTACTTTAGCGCTTGGCGAGGTTTCCAGAACTCTTATCGTAAGAGAAGGGTTGACAGAACATCCGAAGTTGTTTGAGATTTTTGCAGATATTTCGTAAACTATCTGCAAACATCTCGAATCCTAAATTAACATCCTAAATTTTTTTTTCTGAGAAAAAGGATGTGATAACAGCCACGTCTCGAAAAAATTCACAAAGCCAATCTAGCTTCGAAGAACAAGAAATTAATTTGGTCAATTCCTATTAAAAATCAGTCACTTGAATGATTTTCCAACTTATGGGATGTAGAATACACTCCCCCCCCCCCCCCCATCCCTTCTTTGTCTCTCGTTTCCTCTCCCTAGTCAGCAAGGTTGCAGCGGATTCCGGATTTTCAGCCTACATCTACCTACCGCAACTCCCGAAGAAATCTTAACATGCTTGGTGAATGCCATTCTTAAGTGAGTTTGAGCAAAATTTTGTAAATCCCGACAGCATTTCGGTCATCCTAGAATAAATAGGTCATAAATGGTCATCCTAGAATAAATAATAAGCACTGCTGGCCGGCAATCATTGTGGTACCGAGCTAAGCCTCGTCATAAACCAACAATGCGCTATAGATAATCTCTGTGCTCGAATTGCCATTTCCTGCTCATGCTCAGGGCTTCTCCGCAATCATCTCTGGAAGTCTTAATCTCGATTTCAGCTATTGATCTAAGTCACCTTGAGCAGCTTGTCGCATCAGAGGAGAGCCTTTATTGTTATAGAGGCTATCAGCTTCTACTAAAGACGCAGGTTCAAGAACCTGGACTTTCCTAGTCAAAGCTGATTGGGAACCCTCGCTAGGCCATTGTCCCACTGAGTTCTCATATGACCTGATTGTGGTGTAAAAGCTCAACTTCAAACTTTCTAGGAACATACCCTTTCCAAACTTGTTCTTGAATAACGTATAGGGAAGGAGTTTACAATCAAATTTTTTAGTCTCAGATTGACTTCATTACGCCACATGAGCAATGCTTGAGTGAGATCTCCAAATCGTCATCTACATTAAAAACCCCAAACATATTTGGATGAATACTGCCTTCAAAAGGCACCGTTTGGCTGCAAAGGTACTGTAACAAAACTGAGACTAAAGGCTGCCTGAATGAGATTCGTGCGACTTATAAGAAACCATAGTTATCACACTAACACGAAGATGTATACAATGATAATATAGTACGTCTACAGCTGCTCCAGTTTGAACAGTAGTGAAGAGATTCTTTTATTTTATCTTTTCGTATAGAATTTTTTATATGTAACCAACGAGGACGCTTTGAAATGTCTCTTTCTCCAGATTTTGGCTGAAGGCACACAGTACTTCAGTATGCACCAATTATTCTATCTGTTCCTTCCTACAGTTCATCTTTACCACTGACCATTCATCATTCAAGCTTGTCGTTGTTTACCCTTTTGTCTGAACAGTTGTGATCCGCCTTATCTTCCCTATAATCCTTTTCGTTCTATGTATGTTTATAAATATGCATGATATCACCTGTTTTGCTCAGGATATACTAATCCGAAGTTCTCCGATCCCTATTTTAGCTTTATTATTGGCGCTTACTATGTGAAGAACAATAACAACCAGCATTCTCGAGAACATATTCTGCATTATAGCCTATAAAATAACGCGAAAAACATCCAAAAACAATCATTTTATCGGCTTCTCATGATTGATTGCATTAAATTTGTGTAGTGTTTATGGCATTGCTGCAGGGGTCTGGTGATGGTTGACTGAATCCCAGAAGAAAGATAGATTCTATGTGAGATGACAAAAAACTTTTCGAGCCTTGTTTGAACTACCATTTACTAATCATGAAAATTGATTGAGATTTTACAGTAAAAATCAAAAAAAAAATTCGAAGAAAAATTGTAAAATATGAATGTGCCTTAGCTTGTTGATATCTCTGGTTTTTGATGAGTTGTGTCCAAGAATGCCATTTTTTCAAGTCCACTCGTCGTCCAAAATTATTTATATTATTTGACGCTATGCCTTTCTGGCTACGCTTCGCTTGGAACCGCTATCAGGTGCTTCTTTTGTTACTAACCATAGTGCTTTCACTAACGACCACACTAGCTCATTCATCATAATTTTTATTTTACATCTTGTAACTCTACCATAGCTCAGTCGTCCCATCGATGAGATTTCGTTCTCCTGGCTTGATATCAATCGCTCATAGACGGCAGGTATCTATTTCTACCCCTTCGAATTCAAACCGTGCTCTCTTCTAAGAGAATATTCTTCAGATTAAAGTCAGCTAGCTCTTATTAAGTAGGGGGGGGGGGGGGGCTCGCTGACGCCCAAAAATCGAGTCGTAAACTTCAGAAGGAGAAGGTTCTAGAGACTATTCTAGGCAAAGCTCTTTTTCTTTCGGCTTTGTTGTGCTGTATAATCAAATTCGTGTTATTATGGGTTTGGAGTTCAAAATTTGTCTTGCGTTTTATTTATATATTTTTCCCCTCTTGCTGAGATGAGGATCGGCTGGTTTCTTATGTTGCCATTCTTTTGTTTCGTTTTTTCATTGTGGTGAGCCATGAGTGTATACATAATATAAACAGTTTGAAAGTTATCCATTCGAAGACGACAATTTATGATAGTGCCTTCGTTTCCGCTCTAAAATCAAGACAATTCTGACGCTAGTCCTTCCTCATTTTGAAGGTTGTTTTTTAAGTGAATTAATGGTATGGATTTATGAAATCAAACATCTCTATTATACGTTGATGATGCGAAAATAAGAGCTGATGACTCAGAGTAGCATGCGATCATGGCATAATTCTGCCGTGATAAATGAATGAGCATGAGATACGCGAATTTATATACATATGTACTATGACGCATGTCGATTTCATTGAATAAAACGAGCTTCAAAAGTTTATTACGATTCCTCATTTTCTAAAGCAGTCCCATAAATCTAAGAATCCTCTTACCCAATGGTTTTATGTCTCACAATTTGCGCCCTTTCTTTTCTCGCTCTTGCTATCTTAAGCGTTATTGCGATCAAGAGGAACGAGCCTTACGATATAATAATCTTCTAGAGAAACTAATCATTGATTTGTGGAAGTAATCAAAACCTAAAATCTAAACTTTTTGAGTTTCTTTTTAGAAACCGTAATGAACATCAGTGATTGCTCTGTGGTCTATACTTTTCAGCTCCCTCTGTCACTCATCAGTACCTCTGGATTCAGAGGAACTTTCCTGAAAATGTGAGCACATCTTACCTTTGCGCCGTTATCCTGAATAGGCTGTTCTGAAAATCTCTATAGCATCCTCTGATGATTATTGCATTGTAAGATACATGAGTGACTGCAAATTATTGAGGTCCTTTGTAGTAATACAGATCCTGCATACTTCAGATTCTTTCATCAGTTTGTGAGATATCACATGCCGATGCATAGAGAGAATAATGATCATGATATGTAGGCCAATGAACTCACACAAATTTCTAAAAATATTGCAAATTTCTTATGAATAATAGCATAGTTTTAGAAGCTCAGTTTTCTGCTGAAGTTCAAGAAAGCGATGGGAATGCAAAAGCAATCAAACAGCTACTTAGCCACAGCATTGCACTTTTCTACCGTACTTCGTCTTCTGTTGTTATTATAAACAAAATTTTCTTCTCATAAAGTGCTGCGAAATCATCTTACCTTAACTGACAGTAGCGATTTAGACGGATATGTCAGCACATAGGCTATAGAATTGGCATATGACCTCCTATTCGCAATTGAGTTTGAATTTTGATCGAAGTTTTGAGGATGCTTCCAGTTACCACTACCCACTGAAGTATGGACCGTTTTTAGCATCTACAGAGTGTTTGAAAATCCGGCTTCAGGTACTTCAGTTGAGAATTTTAACTTGCTTTTTGCTACACGTGTTCATTCTGGAGAACACTAAATTACATAAAAATTTCTTGCTCGAAGATACATTTTGCATGAAAGTTTTGTTTTAATGTGCATATGTAGCTCAACTCTCTACGAGAGGATCTTAAGACTTACTCTTGGTCTTTCTGAGCTCGATATCTCAAAATAATTTTATTTTACGAGAACTGAAACCTACGAAAAGCTAAAAAAAGGCTTCCAGATGTTACACAAATTTTTCTGTGGAAAATATTTCCCCCTTTTTTAACAAGCATCTCTATGAAAGAGGGGTGAGCTTTATTGATTCACAGTCTTTCAACCTAATAAAAATCAAAAAAACCACAAAGATGCCTGATTTTCACTGAAATGATGGTTTCTATGTTTGAAGGAGCATAGTGAACAAAAGGCACATTGAAATCTAACTGAAAGTGCCTTAGGCTAGAAACTTTCCAAACACCCTGTACAAGAAACGTCCAGTTTCTCTAAATATTCAACCCTCTTTGTGTTCTGTTTGACCATCGCATGCCATCATTTGTAGCTTATGCATGAGTAGTAGATGAATAGAAACGTCATCTAACAAGTACATATAATCTGATGCTATTTATGTTCGTCTCGTCGTCTGCACTTGAATCGTAGGTGTCGCATATTGCCCTACTAAATACGAGTTCTCTGTGTCCACCCACTTTTTACCTTCTCCGTACTGATATGTCCGTTCGTTGCTTCAAAGGGCTCCTTATTGAAAATTTATCACGAAGTTTGGCTTACTTTGCATTTGCAGGATTTCGTCTTGTACATGTTATAAGAATGGAGCTGTTCCGAGCAAACGACTCCTTTACAAGGAGTTGCGGGCTCCAAATGGCAGCAAACGCCGACGGATTGCGATTCATCATTGATGGTGTCATCGGAAACGTTGTTGCCTCTGTAAGTTAGTGGAATAAGTTATTTTAGTATCATTTTATTAGGTTGTCCCAAAAGTAAACTCCTTTTTTGAATAACTCAAGCTGTTCTTGTTTTCATATTTAGGGTATCATTCGATAGGGCAGATCAAGCTCTACAAAATAACCGCCAAGGGTCCGCCTAACTCGCCTTCCATGTAAAGTTTGAAGACAAAATCGGAAAAAAATTTGTCACCTGAAAATTGGATTTCTGCGACAAAGAATCCTACACACCTCCAACTTGGTCATTATACAGAAGGCATATAGTAGTACACAAATATGCCTTTACCGAATTTTTTTCGAGCATAAAAAGCGAGAAACAAAAATTGTTCAAAAATGCCAAACTCCACCCCCAGCCCCGCCCATATATGTCATTGTATACTACAAGCCTTTCTAAGTTTATTTTTAAAACCTTACCCCTGTAGGTGCTCTTATAATCGAGAAATGCCAAGTTTTACAAAAAAACCTGAAAAAAGTGGCATTTTGGCACTTTGGGACCCTATTTGTTTCTCAATTTTGAGCCTCGGAAAAAATCCACCAAATACATTTTTGGGTACTACTATGTGTCTACTATGTAAAGACAAGTTGGAAGTCCGTAGGAATTTTCTGGAAGGAGATCCGATTTTGAGGGTAGCTGAATAATTTTGATTTTTGGCTTCAAAATTTACCTAGGTTACAATTTAGGTGGACCTTTGGTAGTCTTTTTGTAGAGCTTGCTGCGCTCTACCGAATGGTACCCTAAATCTGTGAAAAAAATCAAAACAGCTCAAGTTATTTGAGAATGAAGTTTACTTTTGGGACAACCTAATATATGGACAAAAGACAAAGGTTACATTTTCCAAAGGAAGGAGCTGATAAGAGCAGTATCTCTGAGCAAGAATATTTTTTTCCAAATACTGCCAGCAGCAATAGAACATCGTTTACGCTTAGATAGTAAATTCAATTAGTAAGTACCAAAGTTCGCATCTATAGAAAGGTGAAACGACTGAAGTTCTATAGAGATATGCAGTCTGCAAGTGTGCAGCGATATTTATGTAAGCTTTACTCTTGATTTACGAAAGCTTTAGTTCTGACTTAAAGAAGAAAGATCCACTACCGTTACAGCCTTGGTTGAGCTTACAAGGGAATGGTCAGAAGTCGAAGTGGCCAATCCAAACAAGCTACATACCATTCGATGCAGCATAGAACGCTGATTTCAAATCTGCCTTCCGTATCTGCAGAGCGCCTTTGTGGGCGAAGTTATGAGCAGCTTTACTGCGGAAAAATCGTCCACAAAAACTGCGAAATCAGGCAGATCACTGCTCTTTTAGCTCACCTTTAGGTACGAGCCATATGAACCGACCTAGTTACACGTTTTGGTCCAACAATGAGCCGAGAATGGCTTTGTACGGCCAAGTTTGACCTTTACACGCACAATTTCTTAGCAAAATGATGACATTTAACGGCTTATAACTTCGCCTACAAAAGCGCTCTGCAGATAAGGAAGACAGATCTGAAATCAGCATTCTATGCTGCATCGAATGGTATGCAGCTTGCTTGAATTGGCCACTTCGATTTCTGACCATTCCCTTGTTAGTTTCGGTATTTTGTACAAGATCGCTTTGACATCAAAATTCTTTTGGCATCCCCTGATTATTCTGATCAAGCCATCGTGAGATGAAGCCAAATCTTGACCGATATATCGATTATTGTGCTGCTTGGGTTAGTAAGGCTCTTTGAGTAACATTTATCATTGATCTGAATATGATTGTGATCATTTGATTGGGCTTAGGCGTTCTGTGGGAAAATCTATGAGGTATTAGGCTGCTGCATAAGTTCTGTCCGATTTCTTTGCTTTATGTTTGAAGCAGCTGTCCTAAGAGAATTTATCTCTAATGCGATATTGTTAGTACCATTAGAAAATGCTTTTCTTGCTCTTTCTAACGCATATCAAATTCCAATAAATTTCTTAGTGTAAGAAGATTTCAAACCTAAAAGGCTAAGTAGCTGAGGTACGTTCTCACCCTACATAGAAATGTGTTCTTGCGAGAAGATTTCCACAAAGCGCTCTTCAAGTCAAGTTCCTTCATTGGTTTGCGGAATAAGGGTGTAGAAATACTAGTATATGCCGAAGCTCAGTTTCATGAAGAAAACGTCTTGCTAGTAAAATTTATTGTCGAACATAAATTTTTTTTGTATAAATGTTTTATAAGCAATAACTTTCTGCGACTAGAAGTAATCGATGAGTTCAAAGTTGGAGTTGCAAGGGTAGAGCAAGAGCTAGCAGGGCCCATCCACCAATTCCTTTTCGGCGCTCACGTCAATTGTAAATTTCTATGCTACACACATGTGCTGAAGCGGAGTCAAAAAGTGGCTTCTTTTTTGCTCAGTTAAAAAATCTCCCGGCAACGCAGGCCCTATGAGCTCTTTTATACTGCAAATTAATCTACGAAAACTCCTCTATCCATCCATTGTTCGATAAGATGCCTATCATTTCTCATAAGGGAGCATTGCCATGCCAAAAAAGATAGGTTCGAAGAAAAACGCTGTAAAGTTTTTGAGTCCTTGCTTTTCCCTTTACAAGGATTTTCGCAAGTCTCAATATGTCTGGTGGCCAAGGAACCACTCAGAAACTAAGATCTTGGAACAAAATTGATTTTGAAAGAAGTTATGACATTTTGAACTCAAAAATTCAAATCGGACAGAACTTATGCAGCAGCCTAATAAATGCTAACGGACGAAATTCAATGTTCAACCTCGAGGAAAGATTGATGTAGGCTGAGCTCAAAAGCGAGTAATAATTTGCATTTTCAGATATCAGTAATTTTCAACATCCTGCTCTTCTACGTTTTCTCCACATCCAGACGATTACGTCGACAAAACTATGCTAATCCAGTTCTACTAGCCCTATTTGACGTCTTCACATCCATCTGTTATGTTCTACTCTTACCACTGCAAGTGATTTCGTATCGCTACGATGTCCGCACGATGATCGGGAGATGGATCGGCTATGTACGAATTGTGCATTGCATACAGGTATTTTTTTCATTCGGAGATGAATTCAGTGACTGTTGTAAACATTATCAATGAGAAATGGTAAAAATCACTTTGAAAAAGGGATCCGCGCAAAGGGAATAGCAACGTTTAAAGAGGTTATCACTCGTTTTATCACTCACTAAAATTCTTAAAAATGTCACTGCTCTGACTAGAGAAGGATCCCAGGTTACCGTGGATTTGAAACGAAATGCTATGATTAGATGCGTCCTGATGAAGCTACTTCAAATCTAGCTTCCATATCTGCTGCTCTGTTCACTAGAAGAAGCTATGAGCATTTAAAAGTCTGAATTTGGTTAACATTCAGTCCCATAACTTCATGAAGTAGTTGTTAAAAACAAAAAATAAAAACAAAAAATTCAAAAACCTTTATCTATGTTGTTGGTGTGGTGTGCACTCCTTCTAGTCAGTACACTCAGCACAATGCTATTTATCTACTCTCAAGCTGGTTTTGAAGCACGTTGTGCATCAGGGCCTCAATAACTGCACACTTAATCGCACATAACTTCTTCCAAAAAAAAAAATGGCACAGCAGATTTGGATGGTAGATTTGAAATCAGCTCAACAAGGCGAATCTTATGATATGTATCTCGTTTCAGATAGCCTCGGCCACTTGGAACCCTTTCCTTCTGAGATCAGCACTCTCAAATCTTTCTGGTTCTTATTTGTCAGCATGCTGCTCCTTCAAAATTCTGAAGCGGACTACGGTCTATGATTTGCTGTTTAATCAACTCTCGTCATCGATGATTGTTGAAGATGGCAGTTTATTTGATAACTTCATTTTTATCTGGAAAACCATCACGTAGTATTTTTCGTAGTCAGCACTAAATACATGATGTAGGAGTCTGTGCGCCGATATAGCAGAAATGCTTGCTAAACTTTCTTCATTTCCATTCGTAGATGAAAATCGCATTATAACAGACAGAGGTAACTACTATTCCATGCCATCTTCGCTACTGTCAACAGTAATTCGATCTCTCTAACTTCGTCGTCACCATTTTCGCAGTTACTTCACATAAACTGAAATTCAAACAAGCCATGGGAGCAGTAGTTCAAACGACCTTGCATTACTCACACAAAGAAATTAGATGGCACAAAAATTGTTGAGAAACTTTCGCCATCAAGTTAGGGCTTCAAACTTTGGAACTGCAGACGTGAAATTGGTTTAAAGTGAAAACAAATTTAGAAGCGTGGAAAATACCTTTAGCTGTATTGGATGCTCTCGAACATCAAACAAATAGAGTCTGACGAAAGTCTATCCGGCAGATTCACGGCTCCTGAATCAGAATGAATAGCCTATCAGCCTTCGATAAATTGTAAACATGTAACTTTAATTTGGTAGACATAGAGCATTGCTTGTTAAGCTTATCTCAGATTGTCTGTATAAGTTGAAATGCATCTTCTATGGAGTATGATGTATTTGACGCCGCCTAGCTATAAGGTGGTGGCAGTAAAGGAGCTAAAACTTTGATGATCTAATTGAGAAACGAGTAATAAATACTTGATTAGCAATGGCAATCTTCGCCGTTGATTGTGTCTTAGTGATGTTAGAACTTCAATCTTTCTTTCTAATTTGCTTTTGATTCTTCTCGGAACCTTGTCCAATTTTCTGGCGAATCACGGGCGAAATATCAATGAGTAATGTTGGATAAACAAGGATAAATAAGGAAATTGTCATTACCACACTTTCTGCTTGTCAGCATGATGAGGAGAGTTTTTCAGCATGTATGCGTCACAATCTGTAACTTCTTGCTAGTCGTCGCTAGTATCGAACGGCTATTCGCCAATTATCCCGAAGGAAAACAGGTAAGCATGCGATTCTTTTCGTAGTAACGACGTTATGCTAATTTTCTAGTCAGATTTTATATCTTGATGACTTACTTGTTAGCAGATCAACCCTATAATTTCAGAAGACTGTGCTCGTCTTTCTGGTGAAACGGAAAGTTGGCAAAATTATGGCAATCATACTCATTGCCATTTTTATGAAGGGTACATTGCTTTTTGAGACAACAATTGAACATCTTCCTTATTGTGAAGAGTTCGACAGGTGAGGTACAAAAAATGAGGATAATTGTTTTATGTAATTTTTGATGAAAATATCACATTGACTCAATGCAGAGAATAAGGTGAATAACGACCGCGAGGGTAGCTTCAAAAAATTCTTTCATTTGCATCACGATATTTCAAGCGAACTAAGAATTTCAAATCTAAAGAGTAAATTGCCTATTCCAGATATGTGCCAGTATTGGCTAGCAACCCTGGGACTTTCGTCGCAATTCTCTACTGGGGCCGAAAGATTTCCACAGTGATCGTGCCGTTTATCATTCTGATTTACTGTAATTACCGGATAGTACGGCAGTTGCGAATGAAACATAGAGAAAACCAAGAGCAGTCAATCAAGAAGCGGTCAATAAGAGGCAACTTGACAAAGTCGTAAGTATTATCACTTTTTAAAAATGAAACCTTTTCAAGAAGAATTTTTTGAAGTAAAAATGGCAAACATCTGCTACTTCAAAGGCGACTAAAGCTAAACTCTTTAGGTCCATTCGGCATTACTATCGAGAGAAACGAGGAGTACGAACAGCAACCAAGACACTAGTTCTGGTGGTTGGGTGTTATCTGCTCTCGAATCACGTCTCGATAATCCTTGGATTCTGGGAATATCTTGCACCAAGCGAAATTAAGCAATATTACTACGAGTATCTCATAGTTTCTGATGTGGCGTCCTTGGTGAGCCAGAAAAGAAACTTTATAACTTTCTTAACATTTCGAAACTCTCTGGAATTGTTCAAAATAATCCTTCCAGCTGACCGTGTTTGGCTGTTTGATGCGCTTGCCAATTTATTGCGTATCGGATGTTCGAATAAGAAAAGCAGTCGGACGAGCGCTATTTCGTTGTCGTGTGCGTACCATCCCCACCGAGGTTGGTTCTTATTTTTACACTCATATGCACACATAGTCGTTATTATAGGTCCGTCAAAGACAGTTGGATAAGTGGAGCATCGTAGTGGTCTCAAACAGCCTCAGGAGCAACCTAACGGGAATGAATAATCTCTTTGCTAGCCAGGTTAGTCTCGTTTGCCAAGATTTTCGCAAAGACTTGCTGATCCATAATACTACAAGCATGATCGTACTAAAATTCATAAGCGCCATTTCCTGTAGAAAATTGGATAATGTAAGCAATAGGGTTATCTCAGTGCAAAAAATGCGGACACCGGTTTAAGATGTGTTTTTGATGTGAAATAGTGCCAGCTATTGAAGGCGGCTAGCTTGGATTTGCTAAAAACCATAGTAATTTCCAATAGAGGCACTTACCCATTGCTTTGAGGGTTCTGGGAAAATCAACTAGCAACAGCTTGGGTGAGGAGTCGTGGTACCTTTCTACTTAACTAACAAGGGAATGGTCAAAAGTCAAATTGGCCAATCCAAGCAAGCTGCCTACCATTCAATGCAACATTCAACGCTGACTTCGAATCCCTGTACCGTATCTGCTTAGCGCCTTTGTCGACGAAGTTATGAGAAGTTTTATTGCAAAAAAAATCGTACATAAAGTTTGCGAAACTGAGCACATTGTTGCACTTTCAACTCATCTTTGGGCTCTGAGAAAGTATCCAGCTGCATGCTTTGAGTCAGGATTAAGCCAAACTTGACTCTGTTCTGCCATTTGCGCTTTGCATGCACGATTTCTTAGCAGAATAACGGTCTTTGACGGCTCATAACTTAGGCTTGGCAGATATGGAGACAGATTTGATCAGCATTTTATGCTGCATCTAATGGTAAGCACAGCTTGTTTGGATTGACCACTTCGATTTTTGCCCATTGCCTTGTAAGACTATCACTGTACGGACTGTAATTCTGGTCACGAAACGAGCAAGGGAGGACTACTGTCTACGGCTGTCCATACAGTAGTCCGTACACAAAACCCGCCTTTGATGAGTCTATATAGAAGAAAATAGCCCAACTTGATAGTTTTTGAAAAACCTGTTGTACACTTCAATGATCCATAAACCTCTCCACCTTACAACTCCTTCCAGGAATGGCTCCCCGGAAGATCGAAACGAGCAAGGGACGAGCTGGCGTTGCTTCTTCAGAACCGCCGAAAAATCCTCGTGGACATGACGTTCAAATTAGCCGCAGATAGTAAAGAAGAGGTTCGCACCAAATTATGGAATTGAGACGGTGAAAATTCTCACACTAGGAACATCCGAACATTGGAAGCATAATGAGGCTTATCCTATACGGTCTTCTTTTCAGGAGCATTCACACGGTGACAATAACACTCGTGAAGTTTGGCTGACAGACATCCTGGAAGAAGATTCGCTGCCCGACCGGCGAAATAGTCAATTCCGCTCGTTACTGGCCAATGTCTAAGCGCATCTCGTCGACGCCCACTTAGTTAGCCTTTGCAAAATAGCATAGTTTCTGCTCATAAATACTTACTGGTTGTAATATAGGTCTCCTTGATGAAAGTAAACCTATGATATCATGATTATTACGCTTCAATATGTGATACAATAGTCTCTCTGATGTACGGGTACGCTTCAGTCCTTTGTGGTCGTGTTGATTTGAATTTTTATTGAGATACGTTTTTGTGCAGTGTTTTGTTGTAAAGTGTGATGAATTATTCTCTTCATCAACTTTTTGCTGGTTATCTCACCAAACAAAATCGAGGACTATTTTGTATATATTTTTATTCTCGTTATCTCTTCTGTAAATAGCCATAACATCTGTGTCACCTGTCATTTGATAAATATCTGGCAAGACTCGCTCGCTAAAATTTCGTTAAACAGACAATAGCTAGTAATAAAATTGCTATGAAGTTTCCATTCAAACTGAGACAGATCAAAAAATCAGCTCAAGAGTATCCACAACACATTGCGCAAAATCAAAGTCCTCAGCTTCATTATCGCCCGTCGGGTGTTTGAAGTTCGCGCTCTTTCCACTGAATACAGGTTGGATTTGGAAGATTTGACCGCACACTGAAGGAGGATTGTATTTTGAGACTTGAGCGCAATTGGAAGCTTGACTTACGTGGAGCTGCGACCTATTGTCAAATTCAGCCATATTGGTAATGAGCTGATGACGGAGTCGAGTTTAATACACTATCCTTACGCTAAAACGCGCACTGATTGTGACTGCTCAGTGGAAAGAAATGGTCCAAAAGTTGAGTAAAATCATAACTTTGCTCTGAAAGGAGTCTTGCGAGTCTCTTACCCACTCATACATACAAGCACCTCAGACATTCGTGTACGCGGTTGCTGCGTTTTCTTGTATTTAGAAGTTAAGAAAATGAAAACTGGTTTGCCAAAGTGCTGCTGGGTTATTTCAGTAAAGTAATCGTATTAGGTTGGTGCAAAAATAATGGCCAATCTTCCAAGCAACTTTTTTTCATCAATACTTTTTTTTACTAGACGTAATGTACCATCAGCAAGCTGTTTTCATGCTCTATCTAATGGTTTTTGAAACGGGCTTTCATCCTCAACTGTTATAAAGTCACCGAGCTCCAAATAACCGCATCCAAATTCAGAATTTCATTGCATTCACTTTTCTGGCCAGACTTCAGGCGTGTAGCAATGGCACTTCTTCAAAAATAGCTATTGTATGTAATAGAAATTGTCTACATGCATACTTAACTGCATTCTTTGAAGTTATCCAGACTGAGATATCGGCGCCTAAACATGGGTAGCTGCTGCGGTCATTTTATGACCAATAATTTTCTTCTGAAGAAGTCAATCGCCGAAGCTTTGCTCAGTTCTGTAAGCGTAGTGTTGAGGCATCCTACTAGCAGTTCTTGCAAAAACATCCAGCTGTTCAGTACGTAGAAAATCAGAAAATTCTATATTTGGAACTTTGAGGCGCACTGAAAAAACGTTGAAAAAAGTGAGAAATTTTGAATTTTGATTTTTTCTTCCTCGCAAACATTTTTGTCCGAATTCTTTTTGTTGCATTTTGTACTACTGGCTTGCGGCTACAAGATGGGCCACTTATTATTTATACTAAGAAACTTTGAAAGAAGTTATGAATTGTCAAAAACAAGGTTCTAGCAGAAGAACCTTTTTATTTCTAAGTCCGTATTTCTCTTCCCATTTATGGTTTGAGTATAAATGAGTATGCGCTGTTTTGCAGAAGGTTTGCTGCTCTTAATGATCGTTACCGCATTCGAAATGTAAACCTTCGGGTGGAGGACATTAGGTCGCCGAATTTGGAAGAGTCCCGCGCGGATTCCCTGCAGGAACGCATGTCCGCGCATGTACAAGAGTGCGTATTTGTCGCAAATGACCGCGGGGACCGCCCTTTTTCGGCGACCTAATGTCCTCCACCCTAAACCTTCAAAAAAGTTATAGCACGTCAAAGTGAGAATTCGCAAAACGGTCATTATTTCTGCACCAACCTTACATTACGTCGGTCCGCAAGTTCGTGCCATTATTTTGATCTGTGCTCAAATCGCTCGTTAGAAAAATAGACAAATGCTGTAAGCGGTGTTCGAGAAAATTTTTCTTCTTTTTAGCAGTTACGTTCTGCCCCAAGTCCTTCTAGATTGGCTCGAATAATCGTCGGAATCTCAATCCATTGTTTATACCTACCCCGATTTTAGCTATATTATAAATTCTATTTCAGACTTGTAATATTATTATCAATATGATTATCACATCTAACAATAAGAATTGTTCGATTTGCCAAGGCAATATCAGTTGTGAAAAGTGCGCAAACTTTTTCGACGCGGTAGTGCCCCATGCTCCCAGTGAAGCTCTGTGAGCTTCGGAGCAGTGCTCATCTTTGTAAAACCATTTTAGTCAAGTTTGAGGGCTGTTCAGACAGTTGAGTTTGATTTTTGAGCTGAAAGGTGCTCCTAATTTGAGTCAAGGTGGTGGTGGATTTCAAAGCGTCAGGTAATGTTTTTTTCTGTCATATTCACAAACAACCACCAAACGTCCAATGGTGCAACCTTCTTAAGAAGCACAGATCAGCCGATTACTTCTCAACAACCTAATGATTTATTAAAATTTTGCGGTCATTTGGCATCCAAGCAAATTTGCTCTGTAAAGTCTCCTTTTTTGAAATCTGATGAATGCTGGTTGCACTGCATATCTTGAGGGTTAGGGGTGCATATGTAGCCAAGATACTGGAAAGTGTTGAGCAGTGCAAGTGCAATTTGCAAGTAGTATCAAAATTTGAATTCGTTATATGCGAAACAGAGTAAGTTATAGCACGATTCCAGGGTGGCTGCAAACTTTTGGCCAGCACTTTATATTACAGTTCTCTAATTGTGAGACGAAAACTTCTAAAAAATATCCTAAAAGGTGTGTATAGTGTTTTATCGTAGCTGATGCGTTTTCTGGAAAGGTGCATAGCATATAAGTGTAATCATTTTTATTAAAAACTAGCAATTTCAGCTCGTATTTCTCTCAGCAGATGCGCCTTCAAAGGCAAATTAAATTACCACCTCAAGCATTCCTCGAGCATAGCCCTAAGCGGAAGCTAATGGGCAAGCAAATTATTTGTAAATAATAATGAAAAACTCAAACAAAATTACGAAAATGTAAAGAACGCACGACGTAAAGACGCCAAAGCGTGCAAAGCCAATGAGCGTCTTGCTGACAGCGGTGCTGTGTAAGCTGACCAGCGGTGGAAGCGTTTGTGAATACCGTCTGTGGATTAGCTTGCCCACTAACCCACTGGTTCGTTGATAAGTACGGCCACATCGTCTGTGGATTGGTACTCCATAGTGATCTGTAAACAGCTGAAAAATTTACAGTGAATTATCGTATCAACGGATGTGTACGTTGTTATTATACTAGTCCTGGTAGGTTGTTCAAAATTTGAGCATTAACAGAACTCACCTGCTCATTCGCGCCAATTCGTTCACAGCTCATTCACCCTTGCTGAAGTTGACAGCATTGTCTGGAAAAGTTTTTTTTATTAGCCCCTCCACCTACTAAACTATGCAGAAACTCGGGGGAAAGGTGGTCTTGCCAAAAATTAGTTAACCAGAATTTCACTTCGCTTAGAAGCAGCACTTGTTGCGCAAAGGTTCTGGCAATTACATCACAAAGGAGATGAACCATTCAACGTGAAATTCATCGACTGATTTCTCCATTGGTTCCATTTCTCCATTCTCCATTTCTCCATTCGCTCCCTCTTATGTCCTAAAGTGTGCGGTCAAAATCTAGAACTTACGCGCAATACCGCATTCATTTTGCACTATGAGCTTGCAATCCTTAAGCACCTAGGCTTTTCCTATGAGTTTTGCTTATTTCGCATACACAGGCTTCGGAACAAGGTGGCCCTGTCGGTGTATCGGAACGAGGCCCAAATTGATTTCGTAATAGAAAAGGGGTATCCCCCATGCGGGTAAATGAATAAAACATGAGTAAGCAAGAAGAACATAATAGAACACAACTCCAAACAGACCATAAGCAAAAGTGACGATATTGTATCCTTCGAACTCGCGGCACGTTATGTCTGGCGTTCGCTTTAAGCAGCATTGCCGTCGCCATTTGAAAATTTTGTAGGACTATCACTAAGCTAATAGGAGGGGGATTTGAGACGATTCAAACACTAGTTTGTAAGGTTTGATGTAAGAGAAATTCATGAAAAAAAACTTAAAAATTTTATGAAAAAGAAGAAAATCGTGGTTTTGTTTTTTCTGAACCAGCTCAGGTGACCTCCGGGTGGGGAAGCCACCTGGGTTAAGAGATGGCGAAGAGCCAGCCTTTGCAGCTAAGCAATAATGCTGCAAAGGACTTCACCTCCGGATTGTGTACGGCAACAATGCGAGGTAAGCACGATTGTTAAAAATTTTGTTAAGATGTACAGTATGTACACGTTCCTACACATCCGCAGTTCCTATATAATGTCCGGGAAGATCAGCACCTTACTCTGGCGAGATATTCTGTTGAGAGTTCCAAGTAAAATATTTTGGGACTTCTGAGTACAGCAACGTTCGACAAACGGGTCATTTTGGCACAGACGGAAGGATGAAGTTGGAGTCGTCTAAAGGCTTGCGCAGTTCTTCCTAGCGCATTATCAGCCAGTAAAGCATCGTCCATTCCTCAGATGGACTTAAAAAAAGAGATGGGCGACTTTGGTGCATCTCCCCGATGCGCCAGAATGCCTCGCTGTGCTTATGTACTACGTGCCCAATTGATAACATTTGATCTCTCGTTTGGTAAGTAGTATTTTTGGGACCAAAGACTGCCACAGCTCTCCTTGTTCGGGTATTTGCAGATGTACGACGTGATTAGAGTATATTCTACATCAGTAGTGCTTAGAACACTTTTTGAGAACCAAGAAGTGTACAGCACAACACAGTTATGGTCAGGTATACCTCTGATGGTTCTGCTTCATTTTCATAACGGCGGTGTATCCAG